CCTGGGGGACACAGCGAGACCCCGTCTCAAAAAAAAACAAAAACAAAAAACCCACCATTTATTTCTTTATTTATTGAGACAGAGTTTTGCTCTTGTTGCCCAGGCTGGCATGCAATGGCATTATCCTGGCTCACTGCAACCTCTGGCTCATCGAAACCTTTGCCTCCCATGTTCCAGCGATTCTCCTGCCTCAGCCTTCAGAGTAGCTGGGATTACAGGCGCATGCCACCACACCTAGCTAATTTTTGTATTTTTAGTAGAGATGGGGTTTCACCATGTTGGTCAGGCTGGTCTCAATCTCCTGACCTCGTGATCCACCTGCCTTGGCCTCTTAAAGTGCTGGGATTACAGGCATGAGCCACCGTGCCTGGCCACACCCACCATTTAAATAAAATGTTTACAAGCTAACAACGTTTAAAGACTTTGTAAATAATGGTGACCTTGCAGTCCGGGCACGGTGGCCCCTGACTGGAATCCTAGCACTTGGGAGGCCAAGGAGGGAGGATCACTTGAGGCCAGGAGTTCAAGACCAGCCTGAGCAACATGGTGAAACCCCATCTATACTAGAAATACAAAAATTAGCTAGGCCTGGTGATGCAGACCAGTAGTCCCAGCTACTTGGGAAGTTGAGGTAGGAGGATCACTTGAGCCCAATAGGTCGAGGCTGCAAGTGAGCTATGATTACACCACAAAAAAAAAAAAAAAAAAAAAGGTGACCTTCTACCTACTATGGCTTTCTTTTTTTTTTTTTTTTTTTTTTTGAGACAGAGTCTCGCTCTGTCGCCCAGGCTGGAGTGCAATGGCGCAATCTCTGCTTACTGCAAGCTCCACCTCCGGGGTTCACGCCCTTCTCCTGCCTCAGCCTCCCTGAGTAGCTGGGACTACAGGTGCCCGCCACCATGCCCGACCAATTTTTTTTTGTATTTTTAGTAGAGAGGGGGTTTCACCTGTGTTAGCCAGGATGGTCTTGATCTCCTGACCTCTTGATCTGCCCACCTCGGTCTCCCAAAGTGCTGGGATTACAGGCATGAGCCACCGCGACCGCCCCTAACTATGGCTTTCACTTTATTCTTCACATTTCAACTACCAGCACTTTGTAATCTTTTATTTGTTTATTTATTTTTCCATGCAAATACCCAGATATCAAGAAGAATATTTTGCAATCCTAATATTAATTTTTAAGGAACTACCAATAATTAATGCGCTATTTTTATAGCTATTAAAAGCACTAAATTCCTAACTTAAAAACATTTTCCAAATTTTTCATTTTTATAATTAGGTTTTGTCCCCTTTTCTTTTCTTTTTTTTTTTTTTTGAGAGGGAGTCTCGCTCTGTCGCTCAGGCTGGAGTGCAGTGGCCGGATCTCAGCTCACTGCAAGCTCCGCCCCCCGGGTTTGCCATTCTCCTGCCTCAGCCTCCCGAGTAGCTGGGACTACAGGCGCCCGCCACCTTGCCTGGCTCGTTTTTTGTATTTTTTAGTAGAGACGGGGTTTCACTGTGTTAGCCAGGATGGTCTCAATCTCCTGACCTCGTGATCCGCCCGTCTCGGCCTCCCAAAGTGCTGGGATTACAGGCTTGAGCCACTGCGCCCGGCCAGGTTTTGTCCCCTTTTCTAGTGGTGCTGAGGACTTGTCCTACTTGTCCTCCTTAAGACTGCCATAAATGGTGTAGGAGAAACTGCTAAAAAAAGAAGAGGGAAGCAGACACCCTGAAATGTAGATTCTGAACCAATGTCAGTAACCAACTTTTTTTTTTTTTTTTTGAGACAGAGTCTCACTCTGTCACCCAGCCTGGAGTGCAGTAGTGCAATCTTGACTCACTGCTACCTCCATCTCCTGGGTTCAAGTGATTCTCCTACCTCAGCCTCCTGAGTAGCTGGGATTACAGGTGCCCGCCACCATGCCCAGCTAATTTTTGCATTTTTAGTAACGACAGGGTTTCACCACATCGGCCAGGCTGGTCTCGAACTCCTGACTTCAGGTGATCCACCTGCCTCGGCCTTCCAAAGCCAAAGTGCTGGGATTACAGGCCTGAGCCACCGTGCCCGGCCCCAACTTTCTTTTTCCATAAATAACAGGACTAAAGGTAGTGTTTCTTTTTTGATAACATTTGTAAGAGTTTCAGCTGGGCACGGTGGCACACACCTTTAATCCCAACACTTTGGGAGGCTGAGGCTGGTGGATCATGAGGTCAGGAGTTTGAGACCAGCCTGCCCAAGATGGTGAAACCTATCTCTACTAAAAATACAAAAATTAGCCAGGCGTGGTGGTGCACGCCTGTAATTCTAGCTACTCAAGAGGCTGAGGCAGGAGAACCGCTTGATCCAGGGAGGCAGAGGTTGCAGTGAGCTCGGATTGCCCCACTGCACTCCAGCCTGGGGGACTGAGCGAGACTCCATCTCAGAAAAAACAACAAAACGAAACAAAACAAAACAGAAGAGTTTCAAAGAACTTTCATAGAAGGGGACTTGTTAGGGTTGGCTCTGCAGATGTAGAATCATCATGTGGTGGTAACTCTTATCTACAGGGGATTAATTGCTATGTGGTTATTTGAGGCAGTTTTAATTCCACATTTACATTCCCCTACTAATCTACCCAACTGCCAAGAGGCCTTTCTTATCAGATGGTGTGTGATGGATGTCCCAGGGAGTGCAAATTAATTTCAGTTGGCCAAACACAACATAAAAATAGTAAATCTGTTCAAATGACCTACCATATTTTCACTGGGCCAGTTCCCCTTCCTTCACCCCTGACACAAAACATAGCTCATCTTTTCAACAGGAATAGGGTAGAAAAATAAGAATAAAAACATAAAATAGACATGGCTCATCTGTTTCTCCTCTTCTCCCTCACAGCCACCTCCATAGTGAGAGGGTCCTAATGGTTCTGTGTCTGAGTTACACCATCGTGGGCGTGAAGCACCCTCAGTCATTTTGTCTCTGCTCCAAAACTTCCTACAATGCCTGCCTGCCTTTTAAGGCAGGATATATGGTCTGTCTGGCCTCCTTTCTAGCTTTAGATCCCCTTAGGTTGTAGTAGTGTTGTAGTGCCCGGCTCAACTGGCCTAATCCCCACTCTCTGATACTGTCCTGCCTGTTCCAGAAATTCTCTTCTGGTCCCTTGAGTCTCCCCTCCTGTTACATGCATCCTCATCTTTATTCTGCCAGCATTTTTTTTCAATACCACACTCAAATGTTACTCAAGTCAAAGGTTTCCTATGAGAGCGGGGGTTGTGCCTGGTGTTCTACAGCCTTTGGTTCACACCCTTTTTTTTGTTTTTTTTTAGAGGGGGTCTCGCTCTGTTGCCCAGGCTGGAGTACAGTGGTGCAATCTTGGCTCACTGCAACCTCCACCTCCTGGGTTCAAGCAATTCTTCTGCCTCTGCCTCCCAAGTAGCTCAGACTATAGACATGCGCCACCACGCCTGGCTAACTGTTTTTTGTATTTTTGGTAGAGATGGGGTTTCACCATATTAGCCATGCTGGTCTCGAACTCCTAACCTCGTGATCTGCCCGCCTTGGCTTCCCAAAGTCCTGGGATTACAAGCATGAACTACCGTGCCGGGCGCCCAGCACTTTTTTTTTTTTTTGAGAGGACATTTCCGTCTCCACGTTGGTCAGGCTGGTCTCGAACTCCCGACCTCAGGTGATCTGCCTGCCTCGGCCTCCCAAAGTGCTAGGATTACAGGCATGAGCCACCGCGCCTAGCCGCTTCACACCCCTTATTTGTATTTACTGTTTTTTTGAGACAGGGTCTCACTTTGCCGTCCAGTCTCGAGAGAAGTGGCACCATCTCGACTCACTGCAACTTCGACCTCCTGGGCTCAAGGGATCCTCCTACCTCAGCCTCCCGAGTACCTGGGACCACAGATGCGCGCCACCTCCCGGCTAATTTTTTTAGAGACAGGATTTCGCCATGTTGCCAAGGCTAGTCTCTAACTCCTGGGCTAAAGCTATCCTCCCGCCTCAGCCTTCCAAAGTGCTGGGACGACAGGCTTGAACCGCCGCACCCGGCCCGGTTCACACCCTTTAATTGCACTTACCACATACTGCTAGGCATTGAGGTTATTTCTGAAACATCTCTACTCTTCCACTAGATTCTATGAGGGCAGGAACTAGGTCTTATTTTTCTCTGAGGACAAGAACTGTTAGACAAGTGTATGGAGACTCATCTAGGCCTGACTTCCTCTTTCCTCTGGGTTTATTTCTCCCTCCAGGAAAAGGGCTGTGTGTTTGTGTGAGCGGGGCGACTGGCGAACACAGTGTTCAGGACGTTGTATCTTGTTCCAGGAACTAAGTACATGCCTGGGTAACTAATGTGGAATACCTCTCCTTCCCCTGTTGCTATCGCCACTCTGTGGCTGCTTGGCAAGTAGCTCAGTATGAAGAGCTGACGGAATTCTCCGGTGGGCCAGGTGGCTCTGGCGTCCAGATTGTTTAAGGCGACTGTTAATAACTACAGCACACCGTTCAGTCTTGGTCCCAAGGCGCTGATGCACGTGGTACTTCCCGAAATCCCTGTAGGGCCGCTGGAGCAGGAGCCCGGATCCCACGTTTGGGCAGCTGACTCGCCTAAGGCCTCCAGCTGAAAGCGGAATGGCAGGGGTGAGAATGAACAGACCTAACTACGGGGCTTCTCGCACCTGGCCTGCATTTATTTAGGACCAGGATAACCTCGAAGGCCGGGCTAGGGTGCCCGATGGGTCGTGGGCTTGCTGTCTGACTCCCTGAGATCGGCGGGCTGAACAGAGCTTCCGAGTGTAGCGCCATCCTGAGCAGAGGAAGGGGCGCCCGACGGCCGCGTAGCGGGCGGCAGGGCGGGAGGAAGTAGCAGCTGCTGCTCCCCGCCCACCCCTCTCGCATCTGCCTTTTCGCTCCACTGTTTGCCGGTGAGCGAAGTGGCGCGAGACTGGAGGCGATAAAAGACAGCTGCTGCAGGAGTCGAAGGCCGCGGCACGAGGTGGGGCAGGGGCGGGCACGCGAGCGAGCGAGCGTGCGTGCGTGCGTGGGCGCGGTCTATAGCACGCCGCGCGCCGGGCGGATGTCCGGGCCGGCTGGGCCGGGGCCGCGGACGAGATGGCGGAAGGTGGAGGCTGCCGTGAGCGACCGGATGCGGAGACTCAGAAGTCGGAGCTTGGAGCCTTAATGAGGACCACACTCCAACGCGGCGCGCAGTGGTGAGCATCCGGCTCGCTCTTCCTCTGTGCAGAACCAGGGGCCGAGTGTCTGGCCCTTAGGCCAGCCCCCTTTTTCTCGGCTACAGTAGGGGCTGGGCAAGGATGGTATGTAGTGACCCTGGAAGATTAGCCTGACACCTGCCCCTCGGGAGAACTCCAGGATCAGCTCTGGGAAAGCGCAGGCGGGGCCTGAGGGTCGCCTCGGCTCATTTGGAGCCCCAGTGGGTGGGCCCGGCGGGGGCCAGGGGGATGGATGTGGAGAAGGGGAATGTTGGCGGGGACCCTGAGGGTGGGGAGAGCCCTTTACCATGTGGACTCGCCGTGTGACCTTGGGCGAAGGTGTCACAGACCTGGATTCCTCACTGTTAAAACCAGGATAGCAATATTTGGCTCTCCGCCCTCAGTGGGTTGAGTCGAAAATCAGAAGTACTTTGTAACTTGTAAACTGCCAACAGATGTCAAGGTCAGAAGCTGAACAAATGTCTGAGAGCCCCAGATTATTTTGGTAGCAAGTGTCAAAAATATTTGTAGCAGCAGTATCTCGGAGTGGGAGAGGGGGATAGCCTAGGTCCTGGAGCTAGATAGAAGATGAAGAGTCCAGAATTTAGAAGACCCAGGCTGAGTTACTGGGCATCTTAACAGATTGTTTGGTGGAGGGGACAATACTTTGTACTACTGGAGAGATTCCTGGGTGGTATTATTGTGTAGTAGAAAAACTAAGGCTAGATTTTGCATTTAGTATGATTGAGTGTTACCCATCTTGTTTTTTTGTTTGTTTTTTTGAGACAGAGTTTCACTCTTATTGCCCAAGCTGGAGTGCAGTGGCGCCATCTCGGCTCACGACAACTTCCGTCTCCCGGGTTCAAGGATTCTCCTGCCTCAGCCTCCCGAGTAGCTCGGATTACAGGCTCACGCCACCATGCCCAGCTAATTTTTTGTATTTTTAGTAGAGACCGGGTTTCACCATGCTAGGCAGGCTGGTCTCGAACTCCTGACCTTGTGATCCAGCCGCCTCTGCCTCCCATTACAGGTGGGAGCCACCGTGCCCGGCCCGAGTGTTACCCATCTTTAAGAAACCATTGTTGTGATGACCTACAGAGGAATTGAGCGGGAGGATAGAAAAATTGGGGTTATGAGGAGTACAGATAACAGCTTATGTATTCACCTTGAGCTAGCCAGTTTGTGAAAGTCAGAGTAAACAGGTACTTTTTTTGTGGGTTTTTTTTTTTTTTTTATGAGGAATTTCGCTCTTGTTGCCCAGGCTGGCGTGCAATGGTGTAATCTCGGCTCACAGCAACCTCCGCCTCCAGGGTTCAAGTGATTCTCCTGCCTCAGCCTCCCCAGTAGCTAGGATTACAGGCATGCGCCACTACGCCCAGCTAATTTTTTTTTGTATTTTTAGTAGAGACAGGGTTTCTCCGTTTTGGTCAGGCTTGTCTCAAACTCCTGACCTCAAGTGATTCACCCGCCTTGGCCTCCCAAAGTGCTGGGATTATAGGCAGGAGATACCATGCCCGGCCTAGCAGAAGTACTTCTCAAGTTAACCTGTATAGGGCTCATAAAGAATACTCAGCAGAAGCAGAGGAAGTTTAAGACTAAAATCATACAGTAAAATTGTATGGAAGGTATTGCTCAAGGGATTTGGAAGAAAAATAGCATTTTCGAGACGGATGTGTTTATGGATCCTTGTGACCTCTGGGAAGTTGCCTGAACTCCTCTCACATTTGTTGGTTATACAATTTTAAGGATGCACCAATATAATTGTTGATGCTTTGTTGCTCCACAGAGATTCTGTTTTAATTGTAAAACAGCATAGTGATACTTTTTTTTTTTTTTTTTTTTGAGACGGAGTCTCGCTGTGTTGCCAGGCTGGAGGAGTGCAGTGGCATGATCTCAGCTCGCTGCAATCTCTGCCTTCCGGGTTCAAGCGATTCTCCTGCTTCAGCCTCCCTAGTAACTGAGATTATAGGCACGCACCACCACGCCCAGCTAATTTTTGTGTTTTTAGTAGAGACGGGGTTTCACCATGTTGGCCAGGATGGTCTTGATCTCCTGACCTCGTGGTCCACCTGCCTCAGCTTCCCAAAGTGTTGGGATTACAGACATGAGCCACCTCTCCCAGCCAGCATAGTGATACTTTAAAAATATAAATAGGTCTGGCACAGTGTCTCATGTCTGTAATCCCAGCACTTTGGGAGGCTGAGGCAGGAAGATCACTTGAGGCCAGGAGTTCAAGATCAGCCTGGGCAACATAGCAAGACCTAGCCTCTACAAAATAAAAATAAAAAAATAAATTAGCCAGGCATGGTGATATGTACCTATAGTCATAGCTACTCAGAGGCTGAGGCAGGAGGATCACTTGAGCCCAGGAGTTTGAGGCTACAGAGAGCTATGATTGTGCCACTGCACTGTAGTCTGGGTGACCCTCTCTCTAAGGAAATAAATAGATAAAGTACCACATTTGCTTACATTTAAGTAAAAAAGTGGTAAGTTGAATATGAAGCACAACTTAATGCTTTTTGACAAGATGAACATACCTAAGTGCTGTTATATGTACATGTGTATGTGTATATTTATATATGTACACGCATGTTATATACTTTTTTTTTTGAGACAGGTTTTTATTCCTGTCACCCAGGCTAGAATGCAATGGCGTGATCTCAGCTCATTGCAACTTCTGTCTCCCGGGTTCAAGTGATTCTTGTGCCTCAGCCTCCCAAGCAGCTGGGACTACAGGCATGTGCCACCACACTCAGCTAATTTTTGTATTTTTAGTAGACGGGGTTTGTTGCCCAGGCTGGTCTTGAACTCCTGAGCTCAAGTGACCATCCGCCTCAGCCTCCCAAAGTGTTGGGATTATAGGTGTGAGCCACTGTGCCTGGCCTTGTGTGTACATTTTTGGAATTCATTTGGTCCTTAAAAGAAAACTGAAGTGGATGGTGTTTCTAACCCATTTTCAGAAAGAGCATTAGTTTAGTGCTGTTCATGTCAAGTAAAACAGTGTAACCAAACTGTCTGCCTGGACCGGGACCTCTATAAAGATCATTATGAAATTAATGACTTGTGGTAGGGTGCGGTGGCTCACGCCTGTAATCCCAGCAATTTGGGAGGCTGAGGTGGGCAAATTACCTGAGGTCAGGAGTTTGAGACCATCCTGACCAACATGGAGAAACCCTGTCTCTACTAAAAATACGAAATTAGCCGGGCGTGGTGGCACACACGTGTAATCCCAGCTACGGGAGGCTGAGGCAGGAGAATCGCTTGGACCCGGGAAGTGGAGGTTGCGGAGAGCCGAGATCACACTGTTGCAGTCCAGCGTGGGTGACGAGAGAAACTCTGTCTCAAAAAAAAAGGCCAGGCACTGTAATCCCAGCACTTTGGGAGGCCGAAGTGGGTGGATCACCTGAGGTCAGGAGTTCGAGACCAGCCTGCCCAATATGGTGAAACCCCATCTTTACTAAAAATACAAAAATTAGCTGGGTGTGGTGGTGGGCGCCTGTAATCCCAGTTAGTTGGGAGACTGAGGCAGGAGAATCATTGGAACCCAGGAGGCAGAGGTTGCAGTGAGCCAAGATCATGCCACTGCACTCCAGCCTGGGCGACAGAACAAGACTCGGTCTCAAAAAAAAAAAAGAAAGTATCGGTCTCAAAAAAAAAAGAGACTCCATTTAAGTAAGCATTTTGAAGCCACTTGTTTTCTTTCTTTTATTCACTCTTTGAACAATCATTTCACTTAATGGATGCATACCCTGGGGCCAGACTCTCTGTGCCATGTGGGGCCTAGGCCCTGCTCCTGCTCTTGTGACAGTGTTTTTTAGTGGGGATTGCATATGCCTCAAGTGGAAGGACCATAAAAAAGATTAAGGAAGCAGCTGCAGACATTTATAATCTCAGCTTTTCTGCTACAGTAAATTTTTGTCTCTCTCTCTAGGTATCTTATTGACAGCCGGTGGTTCAAGCAGTGGAAGAAGTATGTGGGCTTTGACAGCTGGGACATGTACAATGTGGGCGAACATAACCTATTTCCTGGCCCAATAGACAACTCTGGGCTATTTTCAGGTATAGTAAATGTTGCTTTTCCAGCTAAACATTCACCTGGGCAGTGGCCTGATACTATGTGCATCTATAACATGGACATTGTGAACTTTCCTAGTGTGAGGAGATAGAAACAAGTATCCTCAATTTGCATCTATAGCAGAAGTCTTTGCAAACCCTTAATGAGAAGTTAAGCTACTTTTATTCCTTTAAATTAACTGCGTCTCATAAGAGCATGCTTCTAACATTTTAACTATCTCTCTTTGCAAATTAGTTCTGCTAGCTATTTCACATTTTAAGTTAGTATATGGAATTGAAAGAAATAGGATGTCATTTTGAAATTATATCTAAAATTTAAGAACCAGAATTTTTGTTACCTTTGCAGTGGAACAAATTATAAACCTGTGAACTTTCAACAGGAATTCCTGTGATGGCTGTTTTTATCATATAACTAGTGTGAGGCGAGGTCGAAGGTCAGTAGACAGAGTAGACTGTAGTCAGCTCCCAATGAGAACTGTGGGAAAACTGACATGTAACACACTAGAACTTTGCTTGCACTTGTACATGCACTGAGATGACAGAGTCAGCTTTTCCCAGGCTTTCTTCTGCCTGACTTCTGACCTCTTTATAGTCATGATAGAGGTGATCTATCATGGTGTCAAAAATCAGGGCAGTGCCAGGCCTGGTGTCTCTGCCTGTAATCTCAGCACTTTGGGAGGCCGTGGCAGGTGGATCACCTGAGGTCAGGAGTTCAAGACCAGCCTGGCCAACATGGTGAAACCCCATCTCTACCATGTTGCCTAGGCTGGTCTTGAGTTCCTGGGCTCAAGCTATCTTCCTGCCTCAGCCTCTTTAGTCGCTGAGACTATAGTGTTCTATCACTCTCAGCTGTTTTTTAAGTTTTTTGGTAGAGACAGGGTCTTGCTATGTTGCCCAGGCTGGTTGAACTCCTGGCCTCAAGCCATCCTGCCACCTTGGCTTCCCAGAGTGTTGGTGTGAGCCATCGTGCCTGGCCTAACTTGGATATTTTTAAAAATGAGCAATGCTTCAGCTCATACCTTGTTTTAGGAGAGGTCATGATATAAACAATATCATTTACTTTGTTTCCTGAAATAGGTCAGATGGTGGCACTATGCCACGAAGTTGCCCTAAGGAATCATTTCATTATGTTCACATTTTGTTCTTTTTCTCATTTTTATGAAATGGAGAATTCTTAAGGTTTTAAATTCAGGTATACTTTGGCTTGTTGTGCTTTGCTTTATTATATGTTGCAGGTAGTGCATTTTTAGCAAATTATCTAGGTATTTGGCAGCCCTGCCTTGAAAATCTGTCAGTGCCATTTTTACAACAGCATGTGCTCACTTCATGTCTCTGTTATCACATTTTGGTAATTCTCAAAATACTTCAGAGTTTTTCATTATTATTTGTTATGGTGATCAGTGATCAGGGAGCTTTCTTTTTCTTTTTTTTTTTTTTTTTTTTGAGATGGAGTTTTGCTCTTGTTGTCTAGGCAGGAGTGCAGTGGCACAATCTTGGCTCTTGGCAACCTCCGCCTCTTGGGTTCAAGCAATTCTCCTGCCTCAGCCTCCCGAGTAGCTGGGACTACAGGCATGTGTCACCATGCCCGGCTAATTTTGTATTTTTAGTAGAGTTGGTCAAGCTGGTCTTGAACTCCCGACCTCAGGTGATCTGCCCACCTCAGCCTCCCAAAGTGCTGGGATTAAAGGTGTGAGACACCGCGCCCAACGAACAGGGATCTTTCATGTTGCTATTGTAATTGTTTTGGGGCATCATGAAGGAAGCCCATGTAAGACAGCGAACTTATTGTGTGTATTGTCACTGCTTCACCAACCAGCCATTCCATCTCTCTCTCTCCTCAGGCTTTGCTATTGCCTGAGACACAATGATATGGAAATTAGGCAGCTTAGTAACCCTAACAACACCTTCTAAATGTTAAAGTGAAAAGGAGAATTGCATATCTCTCACTTCAAATCAAAGCTAGAAATGATTTGAGTTTGGCAAAGGAAGCCGAAATAGGTTGTAAGCGAGGCCTCTTGTGCCATATAGCTAGCCAAGTTGTGAATGTAAATGTGAACCTCCAGGACTTAAGTGATCCTCCCACCTCAGCCTCCTGAGTAGCTAGGATTACAGGTGCTTGCCAGCATGTGTGGCTCATTTTTGTATATTTTTGTATGTGTTTTTTTTTTTTTTGTAGAGATGGGTTTTTTTCATGTTGCCTGGGAGATGGAGGAACCCAGGAAATGGTGGTTTCAGTGAGCTGAGATTGCGCCACTGCACTCCAGCTTGGGTGACAGAAGTGAGACTGCATCTCAAAAAAATAAAAAGTGCTACTCTAGTGAACACATGAATGATAAGAGACTGAAACAGCCTTATTGCTGATATGGAGAAAGTTGTTTATTCATTTATTTTTTTTTGAGACAAGGTGCCACCTTGTCTCAAGAAAAAAAAGGTAGCTACTGCTACCTCATGCAGTAGCACAATCATGGCTCACTACAACCTTGACCTTTCCAGGCTCAGGTGATCCTCCCACCTTAGCCTCCCAAGTAACTGGAACTACAGGTGCCACCACCACACCCGACTAATTATTGTATTTTTTGCGGAGATTTTTTGTAGGTTTTGTCACGTTGCTCAGGCTGGTCTTGAATTCCTGGGCTCAAGCGATCCTCCCACCTTGACGTCCCAGAGTGCTAGGATCACAGGTGTGTCACTGTGCCCGGCCTAAACAACAGATTTTGTTTTATTTTATTTTTATTTATTATTATTTTTTGGAGACAGAGCCTCACCATGGGGTTTCACCATGTTGGCCAGTCTCATCTGACACTCCTGACCTCAAGTGATCCGCCTGCCTCGGCCTCTCAAAGTGCTGGGATTACAGGCATGAGCCACTGTGCCTGGCCTAAACCACAGATTTTAAATGTAGACAAGACACCCTTCTATTGGGAAGATGCCATCCATCTACCTCTTTGCTAGCTAGAGGGGAAAAGTCAGTGCCTGGGTTCAGAGCCCCCCGAACTTTCTTTTGGTTTTTTTTGAGAGAGGGTCTTGCCCTGTCACCCAGGCTGTAGTGTGTGATCACAGCTCACTGCAGCCTTAACCTCCTGGGCTCAAGTGATCCTCCCACCTCAGCCTCCTGGGTAGCTAGGACTACAGGTGCTTGCCACCATGCCTGGCTGATTTTTATATGTATATATATATATTTTTTGTAAGACAGAGTGTCGCTCTGTCCAGGCTGGAGTGCAATGGCATGATCTTGGCTTACTGCAACCTCCACCTCCTGGATTCAAGCTATTCTCCTGCCTCAGCCTCCCAAGTGGCTAGGATTACAGGTACCCGCCACCACGCCCAGCTGATTTTTTTTTTTTTTTTTGTATTTTTAATAAAGATGGGGTTTCAGCATGTTGGCCAGTCTGGTCTTAAACTCCTGACCTCAGGTGATCCATCCACCTTGGCTTCCCAAAGTGCTGGAATTGCAGGCGTGAGCCACCGCACCCAGCTTTGTTTTTTTTTTTTTGTTTTTTTGGTTTTTTTTCTAGAGATGGGATTTTGCCATGTTTGCCCAGGCTGGTCTCCCAACTCCTGGGCTCAAGTGATCTGTCTGCCTTGACTTCTCAAAGTGCTGGGATTATAGGCATGAGCCACTCCGTCCAGCCAGATTCAGAGCCTTGAAGGACAGGCTGACTCTCCTGTTAAGGGATACTGCAGATGATAACTTTAGGTTGAAGCTAACGCTCATTTATCATTCCAAAAATCCCAAGGCCCTTAAGAATTAGGCTAAATCTGCTCTGCCTGTGCCCTACACATGCAACAACAAAGCCTGCATGATAGCATATTTATTTACAGCATGGTATAATGAATATTTTTGTTTTTATTTTATTTTTCTGGGACGGAGTCTCGCTGTGTCACCCAGGCTGGAATGCAGTGGTGCACTCTCGGTTCACTGCAACCTCTACTCCCCGGGTTCAAGTTATTCTCATGGCTCAGCCTCCCAAGTAGCTGAGATTACAGACATGCGCCACCAGGTCTGGCTAATTTTTGTATTTTTAGTGGAGATAGGGTTTTACCATGTTGGCCAGGCTGGTCTCAAATTCCTGGCCTCAAGTGATCCACCCGCCTCAACCTCCCAAAGTGCTGGGACTACAGGCATGAGCCACCACAACAAGTTTACCAATTTTTGTTTTGTTTTTTTTTTTTGAGTCAGAGTTTCACTCTTTTGCCCAGGCTAGAGTGCAATGGTGCGATCTTGGCTCACCACAACCTCCGCCTCCCGGGTTCAAGCAGTTCTCCTGCCTCAGCCCCCAAGTAGCTGGGATTACAGGCACGCGCCACCATGCCCAGCTAATTTCGTATTTGTAGTAGAGATGGGGTTTATCCATGTTGGTCAGGCTGGTCTCGAACTCTCGACCTCAGGTGATCTGCCCACCTCTGCGCCTCCCCAAGTGCTGGGATTACAGGCATGAACCACTGCACCCGGCCTCCCAATATTTTTTTTTTTTTTGAGACCTAGTCTCGCTCTGTCGCCCAGGCTGGAGTGCAGTGGTATGATCTCAGCTCACTGCAAGCTCCACCTCCTGGGTTCATGCGATTCTCCTGCCTCAGCCTCCCGAGTAGCTGGGACCACAGGTGCCTGCCACCACGCCTGGCTAATTTTTTTGTATTTTTAGTAGAGACAGGGTTTCACCGTGTTAGCCAGGATGGTCTCGATCTCCTGACCTTGTGATCTGCCCATCTTGGCTTCCCAAAGTGCTGGGATTACAGGCGTGAGCCACTGCGCCTGGCCTCCAGCCTCCCAATATTTTTAGCTCAGTGTTGAGACCTACTGCTCAGAAAAAGCACTGAGCTAGTCTTATCAAAATGTTACTGCTGCTGGGCGTGGTAGCTCACGCCTGTAATCCCAGTACTTTGGGAGGCCAAGGCAGGCAGATCACGAGGTCAGGAGATTGAGACCATCCTGGCTAACATGGTGAAACCCTGTCTCTATTAAAAATACAAAAACAAAATTAGCG